TTATGTGAATAAAAAAATCAAAATGGAATTTATTTGTAAAGCTCAAAACATAACTAATGAACAGAGGAAATGTTAGTTTAGTGCCAGGAATGCCTACATTGTTCATTCTGGACCCTATTTTGAAATTGGAAATATTTTGAACTTTGTGTTAAATTGGCCAAATTATACAATTTCCGATCACTTTATTTTGTAGTTGAAAACAGTTGACTTGGCAATTTCTTGTGTTCAATCGATAGAATAGAAGTAATACTAGTGAAATAGCTAAGAATTTGGTTGATTGGAATAATGTAATTGGCCTAAAATGGGAGTCAAAGTCGGCAAAATCGCCTATTCGTAAATATCGCTGACACATCAAAATTCGCGAGAGCATAATTTCGTCAATTTTCCACCAAATTTCGTACTTTTTGTTTTATTACCTTCACAAAAAGATTCTCTACGATTTCATAAGAAAAAATAACAAATTTTTTTTTTGAAAATTCTTGGACACTGGTGCGTGACTCCAGATTTGGGCCTTGGACCCTGAAAGGGTTAGGATTACTTCAACCCTTTTCGGATGCTGTGAAATTGTTTATAAAAGAGCAGAATTCACCTGCGATGTCTAATTTTTTACCTTATTATTTATCACCGGTATTTGGGTTGTTTGTTGCTTTAATTTTGTGAAGGATTATTCCGTATGAGTTAGGGTTAGTAAATTTTCATATAGGTGTATTATTTTTTTTGTGTTGTTTAAAATTAGGAGTCTATCCTTTAACCCTTTGACTGTTTCAGGCCCCTTTCTGAAACTGTCATTCTATGTCGCTAAATTTAAAAAAAAAAAAAAATGATTTTTTCTTATGAAATAATAGAGAATCTTTTCCCGGTGGTAATGACACCAAAAGTTCGAGATTTGGTCAAAAACTCATGGAATTACGCTCCCGCGAAGTTAGCGGTCTCAGCAACATATGCGTATCGGCGATTTCGCCAACTTTGAGCCCTGGTTTTAGCCAATTCCGTTGTTCCAGTTGACCAAACTCATAGCTATTTCTTTAGAACTCCATTTTATCTATCTTCTGAGTACAAGAAACCTCCCATTTACCAATTTGGACTACCCAATATTGTGGTCAGAAATTGGCAATTTGGCCAATTTCACGCAAACTAAAAAGATGCCAATTTCAAAATAGGGTCCAGAATAAACAAGGTAGACATTCTTGGCACTAAAATAACATATCCTTTGTTCATTAGTCACATCTCTAGGCCCCTCTTATATTATTATTGCTTTCTATTTTGATTTTTTATTCATACAAAAAAATACAAAATTTACTGGTATGCAGACTACTGCATTATTGTAAAAATGGTATAAATAATATCAGTGCACTAGTGAAAGAATATTAGACTCCCCAGTTGACGTGTATTGGACGTGTGGTGTGATTTGTTTACTCCTGAACATTGGTAAAAATCGAACATTTCCGCTACTTTGAGCTCAGTTTCAAGGTCGTTTTCATCGTCAAAGCAATGAAAATCATCTCTATTTCTGTAATATGTTTTCCATTTTATCACTTAAGACCATGAAAATGCAAATACATCGATAAATACTATACAAAAATACACCTCAAAGTCGGCGTTTTAATCCAAAAAACGATCAGTTTTTTTTTTTCTCATTACGCACTGTGTGCTGCAGGATTTTTTTTATGTGGTGCACACTGACCATACAGACCCATTCTCTCACATGTGGGCCTACCAGCTTTCTTCCGCTTGATTTGAAGCCGCTAGAATTATTGAGTATACGTATATACGCCTGAAACACTGGCTCGTAAGACGTATATATATGACCAAAACAGTCAAAGGGTTAATAAGAGCTGGGTGGGCTTCTAATTGTAAGTATTCTTTGTTGGGAAGTCTTCGTGCTGTAGCACAAACTATTTCATATGAGGTAATTTTATTATCTTACGTTTATCTTTAATTTTATTATCTTACGTTTTTTTAGTTAGAAGATTCAGATTTACGGAGTTGAGATTATGTTCTGCAAGAACATAATCTCAACAAAAAAAAATCTAAATGTAAACAAAGGAACTAATAAATAAAACTCCTAAATCATTATTCACTAAACAAAAATATTTCCTTCTCCATTAAATATTTAACTCACACACCAACACTCTTGGGTCTGTTGTTTTTACCATTGGTGAGGTTTTTCACCTTGGCCTTGTTCGCAGTCTTTTTATTCATCTCTGCCTTCTTAGGGTCAGTTATTTTGTATATACCTTTTCGGTTACTGGCACCTCGGAGGGCAGTTAACCTGTAGGCTAGGTCAACATCATCAATTGTTTCTATCTCTTGAATTTTCCTCTTTTTGCTCTTCTTTTGCTTGCCATTTAACCCTGTCTGGTCCTGGTCAGTTTTCTCCGATGCATTTTGTCTGCGACGTCTGTTATGTTTCCTTGTTTTTGGCTTTTTTTTCATAGCCATCTTCAGTGTATCCCCCGGGTTTTGGTCTCCTCCAGATTTTTGACTGGTGCGATCAGTCCCATGGCATCATTGTAATTGGGACATGGGGACACACAACACAGTCATTGTGAAGGGAGTAGAGAGGAACACTCATGACAGCGAGATGTCACCTCAAGAAGAAGTGTTTTAAGATTTTGGATTTCCATGTAACATTCATAAGCGGTGATGACGCGACCAATGACGGGCAGCCACCTTGGATCAAACTGAAGGTCACTGTCGGTACTTGTCTCTTGTACTGGGGTGTCTCTCACATATCGCCACACATCAAGTACAGTCGAGATGGAAAACCCAATAGAACACTGGCTGGCAAGCATCAGTAGCTTGGTCAACCTCTCTTTTTGAGGTGGGTCTCTCTCCTTTTTTCTAAATCACGAACCCATGGATCGAAAAGCTGATAATAGCAACCCACTATTTCCAGAATGATTCCCACTGCCAGCATCCACAAGCAGCAGGTTTTCAGTGCCATTTTGCAAAACATTTTGAAGATTCTTAAGCTTACTGTTTAGTTCTTTATTTGATTATTTGATTATAATTTGATTTTCAAACTTAAGCTTAATTATTTCAATAATATATTAACATAATAAATGATGCCCCATTTTACTAAATATATCAACATTGTGAAAAAATAGTGACATTCGAATTTTCAGTTTATAATTGAAAGTGTACATAGAATTTATTTACATAGAGAATCAAAATTTAATATTTTAACAGTGAGTTGCATTATAGTGTCTTATGATGGTGAGTGTAGTATAGTGTGTAGTTATAGTGTAGCAGTGTAGTGATGGTGAGTGTAGCAGGGTAGTGATGGTGAGTGTAGCAGGGTAGTGATATTGATTGTAGCAGTGTAGTGATGGTGAGTGTAGCAGTGTGTAGTGATTTTTGAGTGTAGCGTTAGTGATGGTGAGTGTAGCAGTGTAGTGATGGTGAGTGTAGCAGTGTAGTGATGGTGTGTGTAGCAGTGTAGTGAAGGTGAGTGTAGCAGTGTATTTAAAGGTGAGGGGTGCAGTGTAGTGATAGTGATTTGTAGCAAGTTTTAAAATTTAATATGAGTACTTTTATGAGAACAAGTAATATATATAACTCTGCAAGAACATAATCTCAACAAAAAAAATCTTAATGTAAACAAAGGAACTAATAAATAAAACTCCTAAATCATTATTCAATAAACAAAAATATTTCCTTCTTAATTAAATAAATATTTAACTCACACACCAACACTCTTGTGTCTTTTGTTTTTACCACTGGTGAGGCTTTTCACCTTGGCCTTGTTCGCAGTCTTTTTATTCATCTCTGCCTTCTTAGGGTCAGTTATTTTGTATATGCCTTTTCGGTTACTGGAAACCTCGGAGGGCATTTAAACCCTGTAGCTAGGTCAATCATTAATTGTTTCTATCTCTTGAATTTTCCTCTTTTTGCTCTTCTTTTGCTTGCCATTTAACCCTGTCTGGTCCTCGTCAGTTTTCTCCAATGCATTTTGTCTGCGACGTCTGTTATGTTTGCTTGTTTTTGGCTTTCTTATCATAGCCGTCTTCAGTGTATTGCCGGTTGGTCTCCTCCAGAGTTTGACTGGTGCGATCAGTCCCATGGCACTCATTGTAATTGACATGAGGACACACAACACAGTCATTGTGAAGGGAGTAGAGGAACGCTCATGACAGTGTGATGTCACCTCAAGAAGAAGTGTTTTAAGATTTTGGATTTCCATGTAACATTCATAAGCGGTGATGACCCGACCAATGACAGGCAGCCACCTTGGATCAAACTGAAGGTCACTGTCGGTACTTGTCTCTTGTACTGGGGTGTCGCTCACATATCGCCAAACATCAACTACAGTCGAGATGGAGAACCAATAGAACACTGGCTGGCAAGCATCGGTAGCTTGGTCAACCTCTCTTCTGAGGTCGTCTCTCTCCTTTTCTAAATCACGAACCCATGGATCAAAAAGCTGATAATAGCAACCCACTATTTCCAGAATGATTCCCATTGCCAGCATCCACAAGCAGCAGGTTTTCAGTGCCATTTTGCAAAACATTTTGATGATTCTTAAGCTTACTGTTTAGTTCTTTATTTGATTATAATTTGATTTTCAAACTTAAGCTTAACTATTTCAATAATATATTAATATAATAAATGATGCCCCATTTTACTTAATATATCAACATTATGAAAAAATAGTGACCTTCGAATTTTCAGTTTATAATTGAAAGTTTACATAGAATTTATTTACATAGAAGAGAATCAAAATTTAATATTGTAACAATGAGTTGTATTATAGTGTCTTATGATGGTGAGTGTAGTATTGTGTGTAGTGATAGTGTAGGTGTGTAGTGATGGTGAGTGTAGCAGGGTAGTGATGGTGAGTGAAGCAGTGTAGTGATAGTGTAGCAGTGTAGTGATGGTGAGTGTAGCAGTATAGTGACAGTGTAGTAAAGGTGAGTGTAGCAGTGTACTGATGATGAGTGTAACAGTGTAGTGATAGTGAGTGTAGTATGATTTAAATATGAGTATGTTACTGAGACCAAGTAATATATATAACTCTGCAAGAACATAATCTCAACAAAAAAAATCTTAATGTAAACAAAGGAACTAATAAATAAAACTCCTAAATCATTATTCAATAAACAAAAATATTTCCTTCTTCATTAAATAAATATTTAACTCACACACCAACACTCTTGTGTCTTTTGTTTTTACCATTGGTGAGGCTTTTCACCTTGGCCTTGTTCGCAGTCTTTTTATTCATCTCTGCCTTCTTAGGGTCAGTTATTTTGTATATGCCTTTTCGGTTACTGGCACCTCGGAGGGCAGTTAACCTGTAGGCTAGGTCAACATCATCAATTGTTTCTATCTCTTGAATTTTCCTCTTTTTGCTCTTCTTTTGCTTGCCATTTAACCCTGTCTGGTCCTGGTCAGTTTTCTCTGATGCATTTTGTTTGCGACGTCTGTTATGTTTCCTTGTTTTTGGCTTTCTTACCATAGCCATCTTCAGTGTATCACCGGTTGGTCTCCTCCAGAGTTTGACCTGGTGCGATCAGTCCCATGGCACTCATTGTAATTGACATGAGGACACACAACACAGTCATTGTGAAGGGAGTAGAGGAACACTCATGACAGCGAGATGTCACCTCAAGAAGAAGTGTTTTAAGATTTTGGATTTCCATGTAACATTCATAAGCGGTAATGACGCGACCAATGATGGGCAGCCACCTTGGATCAAACTGAAGGTCACTGTCGGCACTTGTCTCTTGTACTGGGGTGTTGCTCACGTATCGCCACACATCAACTACAGTTGAGAGAGAGAACCAGTAGAACACTGGCTGGCAAGCATCGGTAGCTTGGTCAACCTCTCTTCTGAGGTCGTCTCTCTCCTTTTCTAAATCACGAACCCATGGAACGAAAAGCTGATAATAGCAACCCACTATTTCCAGAATGATTCCCATTGCCAGCATCCACAAGCAGCAGGTTTTCAGTGCCATTTTGCAAGACATTTTGATGACTTAAGCTTACGAGTAGTGAAGAAGTGTAGTCAAACTCAAAAATCTTCAAAGGTAAATCTCTTCAAAGGTCAATAATTTCAATTGTATATTAATATAAAATATTATGCACCATTATACTAACTATAGCAATATACTGAAAAATAGTGATCTTCGAATTTTCTGTTTATAATGGAAAGTGTACATAGAATCTTACTTTACAACCCACTTATAAGCATCTTCATACTATACAACCCATTTATAAGCACCATCATTCTGTACCAGCCACTTATAAGCATCATCGTGTTGTACCAGTGTACCTTAAGGTCAGTGTCAGTGCCATAGTCGATGCTGGGCGGCGGGGGGTCTTGGCCCTCGATGGTGGTCTTGGAGAAGAGAAAGATGGGGTTGGTGTCAGTGCCGGCCGAGTATTGGCACACCCGCAGGTTGGGGTCGAGAGCCTCGCCCCCAGAGATAAGCAGTACTTGCTTCTCTGGGGGCACCTTCATTGCTCGGTGGATCACCTCTTTCAACACCGACACGCTGCAACATCAACAATGGTGCAACAGAGTTAGTAATGCCCAGGGAAAGTACCCACAAGTACAACAATTTAATACCTTAGAAAGTACAACAAATTAATACCTTAGAAAGTACAACAAATTAATACCCTTGGAAGTACCCACTAGTACAACAAACTAATAAATTGGAAAGTACTATTATAACTAATAAACTGGAAAATACCCACTAATATAAATTAATAATACCCTGGAGAGTGCCCACTATTACAATTAATAATACAGGTCAACCATCACTAATCCGGAATCACTGGGACCTGTAGGGTGCCGGATTAGTGATTTTGCCGGCTCACAGAGTGGTTAATAATGTTACCAATTTGATTTATACAAGTTTGGCTTGCTCCTTCAGCAGAGCTCCAGAGACTTGACACTATCACTTACATGTAGCCTCAGACACTTCACCACAACTTGATCTAGTTTTCAACTCCTTCCTTCGTTGTTTTCCTCTTACGTATCTGTTTATTTGGATCACCGTTAGCAAAGAAACCGAGTAATTTTTCTTTGTTTCTCTTTGTTTTTCTTTTCTTTGTTATGCACTAGGATTAGTCTGGGTGAAATGCCCCGGCATGATAGTGGCTTTCCTTGTACTTATTAAACCAAAAATTGTAATTACACTTTACAAGGAAATAATATCTTTATGTTCATCTGTTATCTTTATAAATCGTGGAAGAGCCAGTGATGTGTAATTCACACAAATTCTCACAGACACACCACTGTCCAGTTTTTACAAAAGTTCAACCTTATCTTTCATGGATAACGTACGGTGTTTGCGTTTTACACAATGAGAAGCATTTGCTTTCTTCATTGCAACCACGGCTGGGGTTAAGTGAGCAGGTTATATTAACATATAATACAATAATACTAATAATAATGATATCTTTATTTGCTACAAGTACATGTACAAGGTATACATACCATAGCTGACACCAATGACATACATACTACTATATAGAAAGCCCCTTGTTATGCTGAGCATTTCGGGCAAATTAGGTCAGTTTTGTCCCAGAATGCCACCCACACCAGTCCACTAACACCCAGGATGTGACCCACACCAGTCAACTAACACCCAGGTACCCATTTTTAACTGACAGGTGAACAGGGACAGGGACATCAGGTGTCTTATGGAAACACGTCTCTAATGTTTTCCAGCCATACCGGAGGAGATTCGAACTCCAGGCCGCAGTGTGTGAGCTGAGTGCGCTAGCAATTGACCTACGGGACACCCGTGCAGCAAGTAGCACCACCAAACAGTAGCTGCAGGTTGATGTGGTGACTGGGAAATTTGAAATTACGCTAGCCGAAAATAGTGCCAAATTGGCGATGGAACCGGATTCGTGATTGCCGGATCAGTGATGGCCGATCTGTACCTCGGAAAATGCCCACTATCACAAGAAATTCTCGATTTTTTAACACAATGGTAATTTCAAACTGAGGTAGGATGACCCTAACAGAGAGGTAACACTTCCATCATTCAGTCAATCTCTGTCTTGCCAGAAGAGTGCCAACACAACAGTTCAGGCAACACTGTAACCCGCAACATCTTCACTCATCCATCAGATCACACACACTCTACTTCCATCAATCTAGCAGACTTGGGGGGGGGACAGCGGATGGCTAGTGACAGCAAATCCGATGGATGGAAATGAGATTCTTTACCCATGGCTGTAACAGTAACAGACTCTGTCCGCTCTTTTTCAATCAATCGACCTAGTGGAGTTTGACCTGTATTTTTGAAGTCCGCCAAATTGAGGTCACTTAAATTGAGGGTTTAATATATTATGGTCATGGAGAAGCTCTACACCGATAAGGGCTACTGAGCCTTAGGGAACAGGAGGTAAATATTAGTGACTATTTGATACCAAACTTTGAGGCCCATATCAAAATTTTTTAGACATATCTTTAGTGTCACAGTAAGACTTACTTCTCCAGTGCTACATTAAGACTTACTTCTCCAGTGCAACATTAAGACTTACTTCTCCAGTGCTACATTAAGACTTACTTCTCCAGTGCTACATTAAGACTTACTTCTCCAGTGCCACATTAAGACTTACTTCTCCAGTGCCACATTAAGACTTACTTCTCCAGTGCCACATTAAGACTTACTTCTCCAGTGCCACATTAAGACTTACTTCTCCAGTGCCAGGTTCATGTCAAAGGTCATCATGGTGCCAGTGTCAACAAGAAACACGTATATCATCTTGGCGTATGGCGTATATCACCTCATATCTGAAATCAGTCTTGCATTATCCACACACATTTAGCCAGCCTATTATTATTATTATTATTATTATTATTATTATTATTATTATTATTATTATTATTATTAGTGAAGGTAAGCACTATACCTGTATGGATCAAACTATATAAAAAATTTAATGCTTTAAAATAAACAGAACAATTAAATTCCCTTTAAAAAATACAACCTTTCCTCACTTGGCGACGTACTCGTTTACCTACGACTCGGACTTACGACGGGCTCTCCGGCCAGTATTCATATCTAAATAATGTATATTAGAGCTAATTTCCTCTATTGTGTTTATTACAATATACAGTATACTACTGTATAAACATTAAAAAATACAGTGGAACCTCGGTATGCGACGTTAAGTCGTTCCAGAAGGTTGTTTGAGTGCCGCTCCATTTGAGTATCGAACAAGTTCTTCCCAACCAATTTCCTGTTTGGTGACCATTATCACTAATCGTCGTAGGCCCTTCGGTGACTTACTAATACAATACAAAAAAAACAAGAAATGCGAAGAAACACGAAATAGTTTACAGCGAAATTCTGGCAGGTCGAGTGCTGAGTTTTGTTCGAGTATGCACCTGGTCGTATACCGAGGTTCCACCGTATACCATAAATGTTATAAATGGTGCAAAGGCGATATTAAAACAACATCAAAGACGACACAAATCGACTACCATTATAGTACGCTCCTCACTTAGCGACGAATTCATTTACAGACGAGGTCTTAGGAACGGAACTCCGTCAGGAGACGCTGTTTAATATCAGCGACCTTAAAAAAAATAAATAATGGTAATCAAAATTACATATTTACATACGTAATAATTTGAAATAGAGATTCTACGCCGAAATCAAAATCTATTGTACGACGTCGCTCTTAACGACTCAGAAACCCAAAACGACTCCATAAACTGCATAAATCTTGCACATTTTGAGGAAAATTTACAATTTACAGCTTGTAAAATATGTAAATGTAATTTACAATGCAACTGACTCATAGCTTGCTATATTTCCTTATTTCCCTTATTTTCCTTATTAAATCCCCATAAATCATCGTATTTACGTGAAATCCGTGTAAAACACGTCCCAAATTTACAATTTGCAACTTGTAAAAGATTTACGAAAACAAGGGAATTGACTCATAACTTATTTCCTTATTTCCCTTATTAAATCCCCATAAATCATCGTATTTACTAGTAACCAGTGTAAAAAACTCCCCAAATTTACAATTTACAACTTGTAAAAGTCGTAAATAACGAACAATGAAATTTACAATGTGACTCAATTACCTTATTACTTTATTTCCCTTATTAAACCCCCGTAAACCCCCGTATTTACCATCACTAGGGGTAAACCACCCCCACATTTACAATTTACACTCCAAAAAGGCCTAAAAAAATGCCTAAAACACCGTAAAAAAGCCAAAATAAGTGACTTCAGTAGTTCAAGGTAATCTTTGTTTACACTCACAGCTGACTACGACGCTCCCTTATTTTACCTTATTTACCCCTTATTTACCCTTATTTACGCCCTTTGGGGGGCCTAGGGGGGTCCTGGACCCCCGGAGTCAACCCCCACACCCAAAAAAACCCCAAAGAGGCCTACTTACGGCTGAAAAATGGAAAAAACTGGCCTATGTCTACTGCGTCTCAGTCCAATGTTTTGAGTAAATATTTTAGGTCGGTTGTACTCTGGTGTTTTATTATGTACTCTGGTGTTTTATTATGTACTCTGGTGTTTTATTATGTACTCTGGTGTTTTATTATGTACTCTGGTGTTTTATTATGTACTTTGGTGTTTTATTATGTACTCTGGTGTTTTATTATGTACTCTGGTGTTTTATTATGTACTCTGGTGTTTTATTATGTACTCTGGTGTTTTATTATGTACTCTGGTGTTTTATTATGTACCTGGTGTTTTATTGTGTACTCTGGTGTTTTATTATGTACTCTGGTGTTTTATTATGTACTCTGGTGTTTTATTGTGTACTCTGGTGTTTTATTATGTACTTGGTGTTTTATTATGTACTCTGGTGTTTTATTATGTACTCTGGGGTTTTATTTTGTACTCTGGTGTTTTATTATGTTTCTCTGGTGTTTTATTATGTACTCTGGTGTTTTATTATGTACTCTGGTGTTTTATTATGTACTCTGGTGTTTTATTATGTACTCTGGTGTTTTATTATGTACTCTGGTGTTTTATTGTGTACTCTGGTGTTTTATTATGTACTCTGGTGTTTTATTATGTACTCTTTGGTTTTTTTTTTATGTACTCTGGTGTTTTATTATGTACTATGGTGTTTTATTATGTCTCTGGTGTTTTATTATGTACTCTGGTGTTTATTATGTACTCTGGTGTTTTATTATGTACTCTGGTGTTTATTATGTACTCTGGTGTTTTATTATGTACTCTGGTGTTTTATTGTGTACTCTGGTGTTTTATTATGTACTCTGGTGTTTTATTATGTACTCTGGTGTTTTATTATGTACTCTGATGTACTCTGGTGTTTTATTATGTACTCTGGTGTTTTATTATGTACTCTGGTGTTTTATTATGTACTCTGGTGTTTTATTATGTACTTGGGGTTTTATTATGTACTCTGGGTTTTATTATGTATCTGGTGTTTTATTATGTACTCTGTGTACTCTGGTGTTTTATTATGTACTCTGGTGTTTTATTATGTACTCTGGTGTTTTATTATGTACTCTGGTGTTTTATTATGTACTCTGGTGTTTTATTATGTACTCTGGTGTTTTTTTTATGTACTCTGGTGTTTTATTGTGTACTCTGGTGTTTTATTATGTACTCTGGTGTTTTATTATGTACTCTGGTGTTTTATTATGTACTCTGGTGTTTTATTATGTACTCTGGTGTTTTATTATGGTACTTGGGTTTTATTATGTACTCTGGTGTTTTATTGTGTACTCTGGTGTTTTATTATGTACTCTGGTGTTTTATTATGTCTCTGGTGTTTTATTATGTTTCTTTGGTGTTTTATTATGTACTTGGTGTTTTATTATTTTTCTCTGGTGTTTTTTATGTACTCTGGTGTTTTATTATGTACTCTGGTGTTTTATTATGTACTCTGGTGTTTTATTATGTACTCTGGTGTTTTATTATGTACTCTGGTGTTTTATTATGTACTCTGGTGTTTTATTATGTACTCTGGTGTTTTATTATGTACTCTGGTGTTTTATTATGTACTTGGTGTTTTATTATGTACTTTGGTGTTTTATTATGTACTCTGGTGTTTTATTATTACTCTGGTGTTTTTTATGTACTTGGTGTTTTATTATGTACTCTGGTGTTTTATTATGTTTCTCTGGTGTTTTTTTTATGTACTCTGGTGTTTTATTATGTACTCTGGTGTTTTATTATGTACTCTGGTTTTTTTATTATGTACTTTGGTGTTTTATTATGTACTCTGGTGTTTTATTATGTTTCTTGGTGTTTTTTTGTACTCTGGTGTTTTATTTTGTACTTGGTGTTTTATTATGTACTCTGGTGTTTTATTATTGTACTCTGGGGTTTTATTATGTACTCTGGTGTTTTATTATGTACTCTGGTGTTTTATTATGTACTTGGTGTTTTATTTTGTACTTGGTGTTTTATTATGTACTCTGGTGTTTTATTATGTACTCTGGTGTTTTATTAAGTACTCTGGGTTTTTTATGTATCTGGTGTTTTATTATGTACTCTGGTGTTTTATTATGTACTCTGGTGTCTTTTATGTACTCTGGGTTTTTTATGTACTTGGTGTTTTATTGTGTACTCTGGTGTTTTATTGTGTACTCTGGTGTTTTATTGTGTACTCTGGGGTTTTATTATGTACTTGGTGTTTTATTATGTACTCTGGTGTTTTATTATGTACTCTGGTGTTTTATTGTGTTTCTCTGGTGTTTTATTGTGTACTCTGGTGGGTTTTTTTTGTACTCTGGTGTTTTATTATGTACTCTGGTGTTTTATTATGTACTCTGGTGTTTTATTATGTACTCTGGTTTTTTTATTATGTACTCTGGGGGTTTTATTATGTACTCTGGGTTTTATTATGTACTCTGGTGTTTTATTATGTACTCTGGTGTTTTATTATGTACTCTGGTGTTTTATTATGTACTCGGTGTTTTATTATGTACTCTGGTGTTTTATTATGTACTCTGGTGTTTTATTGTGTACTTGGTGTTTTATTGTGTACTCTGGTGTTTTATTGTTACTCTGGTGTTTTATTATGTACTCTGGTGTTTTATTAGGTACTCTGGTGTTTTATTATGTACTCTGGTGTTTTATTGTGTACTCTGGTGTTTTATTATGTACTCTGGTGTTTTATTATGTACTCTGGTGTTTTATTATGTACTCTGGTGTTTTATTATGTACTCTGGTGTTTTATTATGTACTCTGGTGTTTTATTGTGTACTCTGGTGTTTTATTATGTACTCTGGTGTTTTATTATGTACTCTGGTGTTTTATTATGTACTCTGGTGTTTTATTATGTACTCTGGTGTTTTATTATGTTTCTCTGGTGTTTTATTTTTGTACTCTGGTGTTTTATTGTGTACTCTGGTGTTTTATTGTGTACTCTGGTGTTCTATTGTGTACTCTGGTGTTTTATTGTGTACTCTGGTGTTTTATTATGTACTCTGGTGTTTTATTATGTACTCTGGTGTTTTATTATGTACTCTGGTGTTTTATTGTGTACTCTGGTGTTTTATTATGTACTCTGGTGTTTTATTATGTACTCTGGTGTTTTATTATGTACTCTGGTGTTTTATTATGTACTCTGGTGTTTTATTATGTACTCTGGTGTTTTATTTTTGTTTTTTCTGGTGTTTTATTATGTACTCTGGTGTTTTATTTACTCTGGTGTTTTATTATGTACTCTGGTGTTTTATTATGTACTCTGGTGTTTTATTATGTACTCTGGTGTTTTATTATGTACTCTGGTGTTTTATTTACTCTGGTGTTTTATTTTACTCTGGTGTTTTATTATGTACTCTGGTGTTTTATTATGTACTCTGGTGTTTTATTATGTACTCTGGTGTTTTATTATGTACTCTGGTGTTTTACCTGGAGTTTACCTGGAAAGAGTTCCGGGGGTCAACGCCCCCGTGGCCCGGTCTGTGACCAGGCCTCCTGGTGGATCAGAGCCTGATCAACCAGGCTGTTGCTGCTGGCTGCACGCAAACCAACGTACGAGCCACAGCCGGGCTGATCAGGAACCGACTTTAGGTGCTTGTCCAGTGCCAGCTTGAAGACTGCCAGGGGTCTGTTGGTAATCCCCCTTATGTGTGCTGGGAGGCAGTTGAACAGTCTCGGGCCCCTGACACTTATTGTACCTGGTTAAGACATTCCAGTGATTGTCACAGCTCACGAACACCGCCAGGTTATTCTCTGATAAATCCCACTTGTGTGTCCAGTCATCATGGCAGTGTTGTTATAGCTCCTGGACCCACAGTCTTGTAGATCAATGGTTCAGAGAACCGACACGTTGTTAAATTAGACACGTGTGCTACTCTTGGGTATCTTGAGGATATGTTTCGCCACACAGTGGCTACATCAGTCCATCAGTCTTCAAGTTCATCCTTCGTATGGGCTGATGAAGTCACAATAAGTGTCAGGGGCCCCAGACTGTTCAACTGCCTCCCAGCACACATAAGGGGGATTACCAACAGACCCCTGGCAGTCTTCAAGCTGGCACTGGACAAGCACCTAAAGTCAGTTCCTGATCAGCCGGGCTGTGGCTCGTACGTTGGTTTGCATGCAGCCAGCAGCAACAGCCTGGTTGATCAGGCTCTGATCCACCAGGAGGCCTGGTCACAGACCGGGCCGCGGGGGCGTTGACCCCCGGAACTCTCTCCAGGTAAACTCCAGGTGATAAATTAGACACATATGCAACTCTTGGGTATCTTTATTGAGAAAACGTTTCGCCACACAGTGGCTTCATCAGTCCATACGTAGGAGAAACTTGAAGAACAGGAGGAGAATGAGGTAATCAGTCCCTCAACCTTGAGTCGATGTGGTCAGTCCATCAATCTTGATCGACTCAAGGTTGAGGGACTGATTACCTCATTCTCCTCCTGTTCTTCAAGTTTCTCCTACGTATGGACTGATGAAGCCACTGTGTGGCAAAACGTTTTCTCAATAAAGGTACCCAAGATTTGCACATGTGTCTAATTTAACACCTACAGTCTTGTAGCTCCAGTTTTTTCTCAAGATTTTTTTCAGGATGTCTTCAACTAAGGTCTCAGCGTCCTTCTGGTTTATCTGGATAAAAACCGAGAAAGGACGCTCTAACACGGACTGTTTTACTCTGAAAATCAAGGTCCACGTACCTGACTACTAACACCTACTCACAGTGTGGCTAACCAGGACAAAATCCAAGCACCATGAACCAGTCAACTCAGGAGTTTACACTATACCCTGTGGAGGCTGTGACAAGATCTACGTAGGTGAAACAGCCAGAAACCTCGACACCCGCCTCAGTGAACACATTTACGCATGTAGGAACGATAACTTGAACAACGCCTGTGTATTGTTTCAGATATTGTTCCAGACTATGGAACAATACTCTTCTCCAGACTGAGGGACTGACCACCTCAAAACTTTAAGGGTGATGGACTGATTACATCGTCTTCAAGTATCTTCTGCTTCTATCAACTTTTCTGTACTCGACTGAAGA